TATGTGCGGAAGACAGATAACAAACATTTATTTATTATTAGAAGGCTCGTGTCTTGCTTTTGTTTTAGACGGAAACAGGAAATACGAGAAGGTTAACGTTTGCTTTCTCTTTATTGCGAACAACTTGGAGTACAACAGGTAACGTTTCATTGACCTTGGGAGCACATCAGGAAATGCTTTTTGTTTTTGTTTTTTGTTTTTTTAATGAAGGTGAAATAAGCCAATTATCCTTCTTAATTCCAAAGAGTTGAACAATAGAAGAATTGACTGATTTTTGAAAACTGCGAAAAAGTTTGCTGATCAGCAGATATTTTTCAATGCTGATCATATCATTTCTTTGTCTTAACCCGTATGCACAAATTTCTTACTTCTATTTTTTTTTTTTGTTCTTTTAAACGCAGATTCCTCCCTGAAATATCAATAATAGTTGAGCTTAAACTGTTAATTCCGTCATTATCTGGCGCTTTCTCTCATGCTAAGCTGCGCATTTCTCGATAATTACTTTTGAGAGTAATAAACCATTTAGAGAGGAAAATGAGAAGAGTATGTGTACGTACAAGTCCGTTGCAGAGGAAATAGTACTACATATAACGTGGCAGTTTGTGTACTCTTCATATCTATTCCTCTTTTCGGGTGCCTAAATCTTGCTGACTGTTGATTTTGCCCCTTTGAAGGAAAAGCAAAGAATAACACACCTATAGCAACGACTCTTGTGAGGAACATGTCTTTTTTAAGCAGAAGCGTTTCCCCTGGGCAACGATCGAACTTGAATGTGGCGTCTAATTGTGAAACAGAACTTCAAGAAAACCATCCTGCCGAAGCAGAACATAAGCTCTTCCTTACCAAAAAGGAAACTGAAGCGACCATTGACAGTCAAGAGCAACTGAATGCTATTTCAAACGGGAATATGAGCAGTGTTAGTAGTTTGCTGCAAACTGCTGACGAGAAGAACGATGCAAGTCAAGGTCAGATATTGTATCGTGTGGCTCTGCTGGCTATGTGCCTTCTCTCAGCAGTTTCTCTTGGGCTCACCTTGCTGATGTTGTTTGGTGTTCTTCACGTTGGTTCACCGCAATGTACCTGCTCTGGAGAAACAGGTATTTGCAGATTTACAAGATGTTTTATTCTAAATTTTAATTCATATCTTCAAATCGATTGTGCGTTAGATACGCTTCTATTTTGGATCAATTTTCGCTGCGAAAGTGAGTCTCAGCCTATGGAAGACCACATAAAATTGGCATGGTAAGGTAAAATAAATAAACATTGGTAAGACCACGAAGTCCAAACAAGATCGAGGTTGAACAAGTATGGACAAGCGTGTGACGTACTGCCGATGATTATCAAATTTACGCCCAAATCGTGAGGAACCTTTTTTTATTATTAGTAGTACTATTATCATTGTTATAGACCTTCGAGTCATAGGTACCGATAAGAACGAACAGGAAAGGATCTCTCGACACTTCACTGATAACTGCGTTCAGAGGCGTGTTTTTTGTTTTTTTTTTTGTCTGTAATGGCATGCCAACACACTTCTTTCTTCCGACGTGACTCAAGTAACCTAAGGTAGCGCATCAAAACAGCATTGAACAAAAAGGGTTAAATATGCACCGCAGCCCTAGGTGCGATACGTATATACATAAAAATGCTTGTTAGCACACCTCGCGAGAATTTTGAATACCTTGATTGACAGTGATCTTCTCTTTATTTACAGTAATGATCCCCCTCCCTCCTTCCCAGGTTTTGAAATGTGTGCGATGAATAGGGTTTTCCTTTTTTTTTTTTTGGTTCGTTTTTCTGTTTTTCTTGGATTAAGTTTAAGTCTCGTAAAATAAGTTTCCGAAGTTATTGACAGCATTTAAAAGTAATTAACGTATAAGATGATCAGGAAAGTCTCACAAATTTTATTTAAGATCATCCTTCTCCCTGTCAGGTCGATTCTTGAGCTCTAAGGTCAATCACAATGACGAAACTACATTCGCTTTACCTGTTCAGACTGAAACATTTAACCTATTGCAAAAAAGTTATCTTTTTTTTGTGGCTTATCTACAGTTATCTACACTAACACAAACTTAAAACGGAATCACAAAATCCGCAACACTAACACAAAACTTAAGTTTGTGCTTGTGTTGTAGAGTTTTGTGTCAGTGTTGCGGATTTTGTGATTCTGTTTTAAGTTTGTGTTTGTGTTGTAAAGTTTTGTGTTAGTGTTGCGGATTTTGTGATTCTGTTTCACGTTTGTGTTTGTGTTGTAGGTTTTGTAAATCTGTTTTGTTCTTACCGGCCACCATAATTTCATCCTTTTATAAATATTGAGCATCGAAATATGTGAAAAATGTTCAAACAGTGCAAAAGAGCATTAGGGGAGTAAGCGGTAAACATAATCCGGAAAGCCGAAAATATTGACTACCTAAATTGTTCGTGGTAATCAAATTTGAAAAACAACGAAGCCTATTTTTGCATTGTAATTATTTTCGAAAAACTCCTTGGATCTCAAGAAGTATAGGAACATCCAAGTTTTAATTTCTACACCGCAGTGAATGAGTTGCCAGTAATCGGATCCTAGTGTTTGCGGCAAAGATTTCTGGGATCGCCAAGGGGCAAACATTGCAAGTTGCTAGAGGGGAATATATGGCGAAAAGTTGTGTCGAGATCCAAAAAAATCCATTTTGGAGATAAGGCATCGCTGTTTCCCGCTGTTTCATCATAAATCGATCTAGGTAATGTTGATACGAGTGAAGCATAAGTTTTTCATTGAATAACCATGATATGTGATAAAACCTACTGATAAATTTCCCCAACGCATGAATGTGTATTTTGAAATTTGCATCGCATAATGGTCTCGAAGTTTAGAAAAATAAGCTATAACTTGCTAGGAAATAAATCCACAAAACCTTCTCAGTTTTATTTCATGTATTGAGTCTACTTTTGGGTTTTTTTTTGGCTTGGTGATTCCAAAGAGCTACCTCGAGGTAGCTCGAGATTGAAATGGTTTGCTCGAACATAACATTATCATGTCACGTAGAGTGATTTCACACTTAAGTTGACCTTAGCTACGAGGAGCAATACCTCAATCATTATAGTTATCCTTAATAAAAAAAAAATCAACTAACGTATTTTCATTTTTGTCTCTTTAAATTATACTATAGCTACTAATTGTCTAGTTGGAAAATACCCAACAGCTAAATGCAGTCTTCTGCAAACTTGTTATCGTCTGTTCTTTCGTATATTTATTTCCACCAGAGGCGTCAGAGCTTGAAAAGAATGTGCAAGAGATGAAAAGGAACCTCTCGGCTTTGCGAGAATATTCGGTAAGAGCATTTTTTTTTATCCTTTGGATTAATGGGTGAAGTACAAAAGCTCGCTGATGTATATTTTATGCACAGTATGTACACTAGATTACGGATTTCGAACATTTTGTAACAGCTACGACTGCTCGAAATGGTTATAAAACTATTTTTTTCTCCATCGATTTGTTTTGGCTTGTCCCCTAACTCGACAACATAATGAAAATCCGTTTATAAGCCAATGAGATTACGGAGTGTCCTTCGTTGCTTCAAAAAAATTTTACGCTTACCTTTGATCTATACGGTAACCATTCTCTCAATGAATGATTACATATATTTCACGCCAGAAAGCTTTTTTCTAAGAACCCCATTTTCCAGCTACTGTCTCTTATAAATACTTATTCCAATCTATCTGTTAATTATTCACTGATACCTCGTGTGTTGGCCAATAGGGAATCAATTATAGCAGTTTTGGCAGCAACTAATTTTTTTTTTTTACCATGAAATATATCTTCACTCAGGCTGATAAAAAACCCTTATGAGCCTAACAGGTGTCAACAAGTCATCTTGATCATTAATTTCATTTAATTTATTGCTCTCTTTTTTTATGCTTCTTTTGATCTACACTGATTGATGCCCCCTGCAAATTGACAATTTTTGGGGGTGGTAGAAAAAACGTGACATTACCCAAAATATGTATCGTATGTTTCACCCATTAAAGAGCACCATAATTTGCTCTTTTTCAGGACCAAAATACAAAAGAAATCTGGCTCGCAATACAGAGTGCACCCTGCACATTGAGCGAACTAAACACAAGTGTGAATGAAAAGCTTCTTGATTTTCGACAGCAGATTCTGCAGCTTGATCAGAAGGTGCGTGCAGCTAAATGCGGTTAAGGACTGACTGAGCTTTGAGCTTTGGTCTCTAATTTAAATTATAAAGAATAAGTGGCCCTAACTTACATAAACTCAAGTAGGCGACGTTAATTATGTAACGTAAATGAAACTTAAAAGCTAAGAAGCTACATTGAATGGAAAGGCTGCTAATTCTTAGCTGTTACGATTTCGCATCAGTAAAAGTTCACTGGTTTCAATTTTTCACACTTGTTTCCTAAACCAGAAAATAATATTCTTAGGAAAAAAGGAATCTAAGATCTAGAGATTCTCGAACAATAACATACGACAAGACCACAGAACGGTAGTAATTATGAATCGATTATCAATTAGATTATTACGCGCTTGCAATGTAAGCCTGATAATAAGGCCTACTTTAGAAGTATTGTGTCAGGCAGTACTTCCCTTGGTAGTTGTTCAACCGCAATTAATAAAGATTACATGATTTACCTTTCAAGGTAAGATATGCTGGAATCGACTTTTTCCTTCCGCAGACCGCAACAATTAAACGTTTTGAGAGATCCTCTAAAATCTCAACTACCGCCTAACTTGAGAGTTGGCCAAGGTTTTCCATATTTTTAAGATATTTTTTTCTCGTTATTTGTTTCGCTTTTGCTTCAGTTTTGTGAGAAGCACAGTTGATTTATTTACAGCAGTGCAACATAAAGGTTTATTTAATTGTCTAGGTAAAAAATACAAATAGCAGCAGGAGCATCGTAGGACCACCTGGAGTCAATGGTAGTAATGGTGAAGTTGGACCTACTGGACTTCCCGGACCACCAGGATATAATGGTACTAAGGGTGACATTGGACCTACCGGACCTGTCGGACCTGCTGGACCTTCAGGATATAATGGTACCAAGGGCCCTGCAGGACCATCCGGACAACCTGGTGTTAAAGGCGTTCGTGGACCATCTGGGTACAATGGTACTCAGGGCCCACCTGGACCTGGGGCCAGTTCATGTTTTTTTAAGACTTTATCCAGCTCTGGAATGACAGCAGACCCGGCCGCTACACAAGAAGTTCGAGTGACGGAACCAAACGTAAGTTACTGATCAGCTCTATATAGGGTACAGAAGAAAAAAAAAAGAACAAAACAAAAAACAAGCAAACAAATCTTCTATTGAAAACTACTTTACGACATTTAACACTCATAAGACAAGATTTAAGACAAGATTTAAGACAAGATTTAAGACAAGATTTAAGACAAGATTTAAGACAAGATTTAAGACAAGATTTACCGGTCCAAGGAGTTGTCCAGAGTCTTAAAGCTTCACTTGAATTCAGCAAGTTCAATTTTTTTATTTTTGAGAATTAAAGCCAATTTCCCTTCTTTTAAGTCTTAAATCATGTATAAAAAAAACAAATAAGTAAAAAAAAAAGGCAGGTTAAAAAAAAAGAGAAAACATTTAACAACCTGTTACGGACAAGTCCATTTTCCTTCTTGCGTTCCAAGATGCGAAGGTTGTATTTATGATAACATGATTTCGGAAGGGAAAATTCGCAACAAGGATTCCCCGATTGTAGCCTTTGGCTTTCTTTAAGTCAAGTGTTCACTCACTGAAACGATTGTACACTTGCCTATAAACAAAGAGGAAATCATTTTTTTGTTCTTCCGCATTTCGCACTCTTGACGTAATTTACCATTATCATTAGTATCATTTTTTTACTTGCCAGGGTAAGATCTTTATCGGCGTAAACTGTGATACAAATGACGCGAAAACTGCTAAATTATCAAGCACCATCTCCGCTGGAAAGAGAACCTACAAGTGCAATTGTGAAGGTACCCTAACAACTGGAGAACCAAAGACGTACTGCTACATCCACTACTGGGAGTGTCAGTTATAGGGAGGAAAGCGGAAAGCCGTTTGATGAAGAGGAGTCTTTGTAAAGAGAATAAAAGAGTGTTGAATCAGAAACGAGACTGAAACACATTTTTTTTTACCTTTTTAACATAAGTGCTATTTTTCAAATATGCCCAGTAAAAGCCAAATCAATAATTACAAAGAAATATGAAAAGAAAAGCGAAGCCAAAAATAACGAAAAAAGTCTGTGTTTTTTGTTTGACAATTTCCCCCTGGAAAAATGAGTCAAATCCTAGAAAAAAAAAAAGTGTGTATGTGTGTGTGTTTTTTTCTTCTTTTTTTTCCAGTTTCGAGGAAATAGACCAATTTACCCTTGAGGACTATGTTTCTATGGATCACTAGTGTTCAAAAAGCAAAAACGTCTATGTCAGCAAATCCAACAGAACAGGTATAAGATACATCATTTCTGCTTGACTCCATCGGTAGACAATGCAATGGATTACGAAAGTTGATTCTGAAAACTATATCTTTGTCATACACTTATTTTCAGACATAACCGTTCCAGATTTTCCTTATTACCGTTATTAAAAAAATGAGAGGCTATTCTACACACATCCTCCTGCAATCTCATTACGCTGGCTTTAAAACTATTGCACGGTTTCGTGATTGTAAACCACAAATGAAATTATTGATACCACGGCTGAATTCGGACTGGAGAACCTATTTTTCAACATGGAATGCAGGCAAGAGGAAATAGGCCAGAGCCTGCAACTGGGTTTTTCTAAAGAACACTACAGAGTGTTGAAGCAGAAGTGACACGAAGGATAATTCAGTTGTCTATCACAAATGCTACAATAAATATTACCAATTGCCTGCTATGTGATATCCATAACATAGCCTAGACACAACACGCGCTCTGATGGGTCGAAAATCTATCTTTTGTTATCCCCGTAAGACCATAAAAACGAAAACAAAGGAACTTTTCCTTCTCGGTGAGCAGTTTACGGAAAACCGAAGTTCTTCCACTTTTACCGCGCAGCGAAAGCGAAGGCTTAAAACGGTCAAGGTGCAAACAGGTAGTTCAACTGTTAATAAAAATTTGATAAATGTTAGAAAAATAAGATTTCTCTCTTTTTTTTCGGTGTTCAAAGTGTTGTCTTCGTTTTCCATCAAACCAAAAGTCTTGATAAACTATAATCTCAAAATTCGTCCCGTGTGGCGTCATTTCTTCGGACAGGAAGTACCGTGCTGATAATAATAATAATAATTTATAGACTTATATTGCGCAATTATCGATAATAAGAATTTTCAAGTGCGCATTACAATTAAATGTTAAAAATTCAACCTACATAGTTAATAAAAACTAAAATAATAGATACTAAAAACTAGAAAATAAAAAATAAAAAATAAAGTAAAATAAAAAAATTAAAATGTTCACTAAAAAGACGTAAAATTATAAAATTAGACACAAAGAATTAAAAGGCTTTTGCAAATAAAAAGGTCTTAATGGCCTGCTTAAACTTGTTTAAAGATTGGGCGTTTCTGATAGAGCCCGGAAGATCGTTCCACAGTTTAGGGGCGGCCGCATGGAAAGATGATCGCCGAGCGTGGTGAGTGTTTTACCTTTGCAAGGAGCAAGGAGTAAGCCGTCATTGGAACGTAAATCATATCTTCCGGTGTCTCTAACAGAAATCAGCTCACTTATGTAGGCTGAGAGGCCTGAGTTGTAATAATTTCCTGTCTAGCTAAGGACGCATAATCAAATTTTTCGACTGAATTCTATGACACGCGGCTGACTGATGCAATATTTGTTTGCTTTGCTTTCAAGTCAGTACTAAACTCTACCACCTCGCCACGGTTGATAATCAAATTTCTTGAATTCTGTTAAAGCTGATATGAAATGCTGTTACAGTAGAAACGAACTGGTGGCTATGAAAAAGGTTCATAATTAGGGAACATGTCTCAATATCATATACATACTGAGATTTACTCAGTTTTTTTCATAAGAAAACCCGCTTAAATTCTGATAGTAAATCGCAGCAGTGAAATGGCTTTCTCACACGTGCGTAAAGGGTTTCGTCCAATCCCTAGAGACTTGTCAAAACACACCACTGATTTCATTCAACAACTTCAAGTTACTTGGGTGCAAACCTCCATAGCGAGGAAACTTCGTACCAATAGTACAACATAATAGTACTTTTAACAATGACTCAAGGATCCACGAGATTTGAGCATGTAGGGAAGTCAAGTGAAAACTATATTATCGGGCAACAAAACAAATATACAAGAACTAAGACGACGAGAGATGTGAAGCTACTCATTGAATTCTGCAAATGGTTTGAACACAGGGGTAAAATGTAATAGTGTAGTTTGATCGTCCGGGTGAGTGTAGTCCTGAGAAGGACTGTTGACGGTAGTGGTGACTGCCGTTTCGACAACCTGAGCGGAAGTCATCATCAGAGTCAAGTGAGTCTGACTCTGGTGATGACTTCCGCTCAGGTTGTCGAAACGTCAGTCACCACTACCGACAACAGGACTACACTTACTCGGACGATCAAACTACACTAGTTCATTGAATTCTGAGAGATAAATACGAGCAAAGAAATCCTGAAGACATCAAAGCCAAAGAATTGAACGAATATATCTGCGAGTTTATCCCTTGTGTGAAGCGAAAAGAACCTTTGAACCTTAAAAGTGCCTATGACAAGAAACTTTCTTTTTCATTTTCTAGTTAATAACTCTTTTTAAAATTAGAAATAATCGACCTTAGGGCCTAACAAGTTCTCCTTGACCACTTTTTTGTGCATTGAAAGTAGGATTTCCATCAATTATACGCACGGCCAAAACGATCATGTTACTTAGCTGTGACGTAGAAAACTGTGAGGACACGCTGGCAACTATGGTGGAGAAAGGAGAAATATAGAAGAAAGGAAGAACGTATTGCGTGGCCGGAGCGCCAAATGATGTTAGCTACAGGAATAATACACATATAACGGATGTAGCTTTATGGCCAAAATGGACGCGTTTTGATCGTCGACATCGAGGAGATTTTACTCTTCAATGCCGTCGGCCTTATGCTCTGCACCGGTTTCAAAGACGCCTGTTACGAACACATATCACTAGCCTAATCAGGGGAAGATAAATATTGAATTCAGCTGAAAAAAATGCTGATTAAAGGGTCTGTTCCCGCACCGTACACGATTTTTCAACATTCTTTTCGGCTGACATTTTGCAAGCGAAGAATAGTGAGTTCCTCAGTGTTCTTTATTTCACGCGCTTGAGATGTACTCGTACTCCTTGTCTTTTCACATGCCTATATTTGCGCTTTTCTTATCGTATGAAAATCCTACCAGTTGTGCGTAGTTTTCATCGTATTTTAAGAACAGAAATACATCATTTGTAATGAAGTTCAATCCCTTTCCTGAGCTGACCGATATCCTGTGGCGTGAACATTGCGAAACCTTTGGCTAATACTGGCATACACACAAGCTCGAAGGGCCCGTGTATTCTCCCAACCTAGGTTTCCGAAAATCTATCCCACGAGCCATCAATTTCCCCCTGCCCTCAAGAAACTAAAAGTAGCAATGTCATTGTAATAACAGCACTGAAACGAGATAAATAAAGAAACAGATTTTATTGAATTAGATGGTCGCGAATCCAAGTGCTGTGTGAAAATTAAAGTCGATGCGTACGAAATATTCATTTATAATGCTGATGTCAGTTATTTCCTTTGAGCGGAATGGGTCATAGGCAATGCCGCACTTAAACTAAAAAGGTTTTTCTCCACTATCCAGTTGTGATAGACAACTGAATTATCCTTTGTGTCACTTCTGGTTCAACTAAACTTGAGATTAACTTGAATAAGATAACAATAAACTCAATCGTTTTCCGTTCGGTTTGACCGGTTAGACGATCGCGACAATAGCTTCTGCCTTTGCAATCTCTGAGGAAAGGAGCAACTTGCAGTGAAACTGCCCGATTACTTCTCTGTAGAAAATCAGCCAATTCTTTCATCAAAAGTTAGCTTTTGGTTTACAAAGGGAATTTCAAAGGGTATTTGGTTTTCGGTTTTCGCGAAAAATACAAACGGGTTTTCGGATTTGATATCCGATGTGGTTTTCGGTTTTTCCAATTAGACCTATTTGGGTTCCGGTTTCTCTTTGGCCTGAGCGACAATTACGCGCTTCCACTGATCTCGAATAGCCGCTAAACGCAAAATCGAGAGGAATGATTGCCAACCAATTGAAATATCACAGGGATCCCTTGGTAGCCAACGTGTAGCCGTATCCTCCCCCTCCCCTAAGGTGGGGTACGGCCATACTTTGGGTACGGCTAAGCACGGATCATTGCCAGAGTTTCTTTATCAACGCCATCTCGAAGTTGGTGACCAAGTTACAGGCCTCACGTGCCTTATTGATTCAACATTCTAATATAATCTCCAAACTTTTAGGTCTTAGTTCGCAAACGGAAATGTTAGATTAGGGATTTTCGATGAAACTTTCCAGAGCTATAGCTTTATGCGACTACAAAATTGCAATCCTATTGAGGACTTTTTTGCGAATTTTCTTACTTTAATTAGGCACCATTACCAGCTGCTGAATCCGCAGAGACCGCGCTCGAGGTCCTCGAGAGCGCAGCCGTTAATTTAAGCAGATACTAAAAGACACGAATGTCAAGTCCATGGCATAGTGTAGTTTACTCTGTATGTCCACTTGTCACCACTGTATCGGATCGATCAGGCTTTTAATAACTGGGATGTGAAAATGTATCGATTTTTTACAGTTTTGCATGCGGTTTTCTGTTTTCATCGAATTTTTTTTCGGTTTTTCGGTTTTGGATGATTTTTTCTACGGTTTTGCGGTTTCTAATGGGCGCCAATGCCCCCTTCCTTCAGCAACGAAACTCCAGAGCACTGACTGAGGGGAACCTTCGCCGCACATAGTGCGAAGGAATCAAAATGTTATAGCAACAGAAACGAACACAGGTACCAATTCTTAACATAGTTTTTGCCTTAGAAAACAAAACACAAACGCAGCAAATTAAATACTCAGTAAGTGGAATTTTTTGTTGTAATCTTGACCTAAACACCTCACGCGAGGAACCATGTTTTCAGTCTTCGTTGAAATCTTCATCTGATGCCGCGGTACTCTTTCGTAGGTTTCAACCGTACTCGCAACTTCCATTTCTTCTCTACTACTTGAGTACAATGTATCACAATTTTCGGTAAAGCTTGCTAAAGGTTGCTATACATCGTTATCTGACATTATTTAAAGAGTATTTCAACACTGACTAATACAAAATTACAAGAGATGGGAGAGATTTGTAGGTGTCAACTAAGAATTTTCACAGTTTTCTACGTCATCACCCGCTAATTCGTTACCAGTTCACGAGACACTTTTAAGACAAAAATAAGAGCATTTCAGGGCCCAAAAATAACCGAGTTTTAAGTTTTCTGAAATTGTCTTCTTCCGGAATTGCTTTGTACACATGATAAGCTAAATATTTACGCGAAAAAAATCGTGCCATAGGCACTTTAAGTTTTAGAGGTCTGTTTAGAAGTTTTAATCGACATTTGAAAGAATGCAAATATCCTATCAGTGTCATCGAAGACGTTACTTTTGAACGTGCAAGAAAATATCTGAAAGCTAAAAACAAGCAACTTAAAAAGGAGGGCAAAGCCGGGTAATAGACCCAATGCAGCAGAAGCCCTAAGCGATGATGAGATCAATATTCTCTGTGAAAAAAATATCCTGGGAATTTCAAACGTAGAAGCATTGATAAACACACTTCGACTCTTCAATTCACCGCATTGTGGTCTAATAGGATATGGAGAGCATCGACAAATGTGCTTAGGAGACGTTCAACTCCTGAAAGATGCAGATGGAACTTAATATTTACATTTTTCTGAAAGACAAACTAAAACCAGAAGTGGAGCTGATCCACGTAGTGTTCGACCCATCAAACCTAAAGCTTTCGCAACTACAGATTTACCACGCGAACGAGATCCTGTTGTTGTTTTCAAGATCTATTCTTAAAAGAGTCCAGAGTCCATGAACAAACCAAATGCACTCTGAATGCTAATTATACTACAAAAAAAATCTGGTAAAAGTTGGTCTAAAGCGAATGAAATGGAAGTTAACAAACTTAACACTCACCTTACGAACCACAGTGTCACCTCACTGACAACTCTCACCTTACGAACCACAGTGCTCGAAAACGAATTATTAAAACAAAGCAAAGCCGCACCCGTTCGTTTTGTGAAAACAAACTCATGCGTAAATATCGTGCGTCAGCACTTTCCATGAAAAATTATATATATATATATATATATATATATATATTCCCTAATTATTAACTTTTTCATAGCCACGCATACATTTAGGCAAACATTGACAATAAAGTGTCAGTGAAAGACACAACAAGCAAATAAAGTTCGTTTGTTGGTTGTACTGCCGATGCTTGTCCATTTTGTTGGATAACATGTACATTTATCCATCATCTAATTGTGATTTTGATTTCTTGTGTGAAACTAATTTAGAGAAGCTGTGCTCGGCTGCGTGAAACTGTCTGTTCAGTCGAAAAATCCAAAATATCACCTTAAAAGAAAATGATAGTCATCAAGGCGTTTTCATGTGATAGTAAGTGTTAAATCTGGAACTGGAGGAGAGTTGTGTGAATTTCACACGCCATGTCATGTTCTCCCTCTCTCCCAAGCCTTTTTTTGCCCATTATCCTCCTTTGAGTTCAGCAAATCATAGACAAAGAACAATAAGGTGAAACTCTTTTTACCTAATCCGTTCCTGCGATGAAAACTGACGCAAACCCTTTTTTTACATCATGGGGTATTTGGGTTTTCGGTTGGTGTAAGGAGTTGAGACGAGTTTAGATCACCTAAAGTGACATAAGGTCACAAGTATATGAAACCAACGACTGTAATCTTGACTATACATCTCAAGTGTACATTTTGTCTCCCGTACCAACGTCAGGCAAATTCAATACTTTTTCTAACACAGCACATTTCCTCTACGTTCCTATCTTGGGAAGAGCAAAATTTGCCTTATCAACATTCCACCACTGCTTACGAAGATATCATGGTGAGGCCAATTAAAACTGCCTTAAGAAACATAAACTGGATGTGTTTCCTGGCTCAAAATCTCTGGAACACTTCCATCCGGATTAAATTATTTTCTTTTACTCTCTTGTTTTTTTCCTGTCCCCTAACTCGACAACGAAATGAAAATCCGTTTATAAGCCAATACGAGTGCGAGCCTTCTTCGTTGCTTCGAAAAATTTAGCGCTAACCTTTCATCTATACTCTTCTCTAGGAGAATAATTACATATATTTCATACCAGAAAGCATTTTTGTAAGAGCCAAATTGTTAAGCTACTATCTCTTGTTAAATACTTAATCCAATCTTTCTTTTAATCGTACACTGATGCCGACAAAAATCCTTATGAGCCTAACAGATGTCAACGAGTCACCTTTATTATTAATTTTATTTTAATTATTGTTTTTCTTATGTGCTTCGTGTGACCTACACTGATTGATGCCACCCGCAGATTGATAATTTTTGGGGGTGGTTGAAAAAATATGATTACCAAAAATATTTATCGTATGTTCCACTCATCATTGAACACCATAATCTGCTCTTTTCCAGGACCAAAATACAAAAGAAATCTGGCTCGCAATACAGAGTGCACCTTGCACATTGAACGCACTAAACACAAGTGTGAATGAAAGGCTTCCTGATTTTCGAAAGCAGATCCTGCAGCATGACCAAAAGGTGCGTGCAACTGAATGTAGTCAAGGACTAACTGAGCTCCAGACTTAAGTCTCTTAAAAAAAAAAATTAGCGGCCCTTAAAAAAATTAGCGGCCCTAACTTACATAAATTTAAGTAGACGACGTTACCTATATTTCATCAATGAAACCTGTAAACCTGTATGAAGCTACATGAAACAGATAGGCTGCTAATTCTCAGCTGTTACGATTTTGCAACAGTCAAAGTTCACTTTTTCATACTTGTTTCCGACACCAAAAATGACATTCTTGGGAAAAAAGGATCAAAGAGGTAGAGATTTTCCAACAAAATAACACACGACAAGACCACACAACCGTATCTCAATCAGATTATAACGCACTTGGATGGCAATTAGGATGGAAAGTTTTATGATGAATAAAAAGAAAATTCGAATTACATAACATTTTTTTTCCTATTGGGTGCTATTATTACTTTTATCATTACCATTACTGCTACCGTTAGCATCATAATTATCATTCTCGTTGGTAAACAAGATGATAAACATTAATAGCACCACGAGAATCAAAGGACCACCTGGATTCAATGGTACTATGGGTGATATTGGACCGGCTGGACCTGCCGGACCTCCAGGATATAACGGTACTAAGGGCGACATAGGACTTGCCGGACCAGCTGGACCTCCAGGACATAATGGCACTGAGGGCCCTGCAGGACCATCTGGACTACCTGGTCTCCTGGGCCTCCGTGGACCATCAGGGTACAATGGTATTCAGGGCCCACCTGGACCTGGGGCTAATTTCTGTGTTTACAAGATGGAGTCTAGCCCTGGTATGGTAGCAGACTTGGCCGCTAGACAAGAAGTGCAAGTAACGGAGCCAAACGTTAGTTACAGATTAGCTTAGGGTTAGGGTTAGGAGTTTGGGATAGGGTTAGTAAGTGGGTACAGAAGGAAGAACAACTCGTTTTCATTAGCATTTGTTCGAGAAGTTATCGCTGAAGGGTATTTCAGAGCTCCCCCCCCCACCCTTCCACCACAAATACAAGAAAACTTTCAGAGTTTTGATCTTTGAAGGATTTTTAGGTAATCTAAAGACCATTTATTCAGTTTGGACAAAAACAAAATTATCTTGTTATCTTTATTTTTCTGACAGAATAAGACGTTTATTGATGTAAACGGTGGTACAAATGACGCAAAAGTTACTATTTATCAAGCATCATCTCAGGTGGCAAGAGAACCTACAATTGGGCCACGATAATCCTCTACCAAAGCGTGTTTTGATGAAAACAAACACAGAAATGAATACTTCACCGGAAAGCTGTCGGGGCCCATTGATTTACCAGAGGGGGTTTTGGAATTTTCCCAGTCTTCTGCCCGATATCATAGGTATCAAACGAAAACTTCATTTCAGCAAATGATACGTATTCGAGGGACACTACCTCAGTAAAGGTTTGCTAACCCATCCCGTCTTCATTTCGAACAAATATCTAATTTTCGGGGTGCGGCTCGATTGACCAAGCCATTCGTTCATCAGGATTCTCTTTCAATAAATAAGTTAGTAAAATGCTGGACCAGAAGTGACACGAAGAGCATTTTGCTGTTTTACATAAGTATTACCAATTGCCCGCCATATCATATCTTGTGTTGTTGGTGCGTTGCTTTTTATTTTTTCCCAGTGAGATTCATGTATGTTGCAAATATTGGCGAAAGGAGAATCAAAGCCGCGTTGCTAAATGTACTACTGGTGTCAGTCCCAAGAGGTAAACGTAAGACTATTCGCTTAACATGATTCTTTGTATCGAAGATGATGCGGTTGTAAATCAGCGGCCATGGGAAAACATATTTAACAGGTCTATACCACGTTACACTGTTCTATAAATTGGCTGTATCACCATAAACGCTGAAGTCTATGCATCATAACTATTATATTTTTCAAATGCGCACAGTTGTTGTAAGACGCGTATATAATCTATGGACTAAATCATTTTATGATCGATATTTATTATAAATATTAGTTTTAGTTCATAGGCGTTTAGTACATTAACAATGTTAAAATTGTAATCATTATCCCGTCAGCCGCGATTTTATGTATTCGACCTGGTCCTCTTGAAAAACATTCTAACTTAGCGAACGTTAGTTACTATTGTTTCGCTGTAATTTAGGGTCAGATATCATGTACCCATAAGAAAAATAAAGTATTTTCTTCAAACGCTTTATGAATAACAGGTTTAACGCGAGTAGAGACAGGAAAGCAGTCAATCTGTCCGAGCCACAGAAGTTTTGTCCATACCATGACGTCAAGAAGCCCGGTGTCACGGTCTGATTTTTAAAAACTCACGCTAGTGCCACATTTAAGTCCCGCATTTTTGTCTCTGATATTTATGGCTCTTGGGACCCAGTTCAATTGATAGAGCACAGAAAGAGCCTTAGCATCAATAGCAGTTTGAATGGCCTCGGTTGAAATGTGTGGGGGAAATCACAATTTAATGTCGAGCTGCGATTACTTATTTGGGTTTAGGATACACATGCAATCAGTGTCATGTAAATTTGAGCGACTTTTTTTATTTCTTTATTTTTTATTGGAAAAGAGAAAATAATTACGGTATGCCTCGATAAATGTGCTTCACATGTGTGAGACAAGCTTGAGGGCGGCGCCCTTCAAATCAAGGAAACAAACAACCGGCGGCTAAGGTTTGTAATCAAATGCAATCAATGTGGACTGGTTTCAACCATTTAAGGGGCGAAATGACAGGTCTGTGGGAGTCATTTATTTAGTTCTCTTAAATCTTCCAAGAGAACAGCGGTTCAAATGGGAGAACATTATTGTAACAGGAATGGTACCAGAAATGAGCAAAGAGCCTGAGTCACTGAATACATTTTTAGCGCCAATTGTTGATGAACTCAAGGCATTTTGGATAGGCGTAAAACTTAAAACCAGTCAGAGTAAGATACCACTAACATATCCTGCTTCAGCTGATCTTCCTGCTGTGCGAAAAATCTGTGAGTTTAAAGGCCATTCTGCACACCGGGGCTGTTCAAAATATTTTAAGTCTTTCCTAACGAGCTTCGGAGAGAAAACAGACTACTCTGGCTTTGACAGAGACATGTGGCCACCACGCCATAATAGAAGTCATCGAATTCATGCGGAAATGGTACGGAATGCTTCAACCCAAAGTAAGCATGAGGCATCAGCCACAAAAGTATGGGGTCTTTTACAGTTCTCTGTTACAACTCGAATACTTTAATCCAGTAAGGTTTACTACAATTGATCCCATACATAATTTGTTTTTGGGGACTGCAAAGCATGTTTTCAAACTGTGAATTAAGAAAATTTATTATCAAAGAAAGACCTTAAAGTCTTATAAGATAGGATTAATTCTCTCGTTGTTGGAACTAGAATTGGACGATTGCCGCACAGAATAACATCAAATTATGGTGGCTACACGACATCTTATCATTGATTTATTCCATGTTTTGTTTGAAAGATCTGTTACCAGAAACTCATTTAAGATGTTGGCAGACGTTTGTTCTTGCTCGCCAGTATCTTTGTACTCCAGTTCTGTCCAAGACAGACATTATCAAAGCTGATCTGCTCTTTGTCAAGTTCGGCGAAAGATTTGAAAAGCTGTATGGCGAAAAGGTTGTGACACCAAATATGCATCTTCACTGCCACTTAAAGGAACGTGTCATTGATTGTAGACCAGTACATGCATTTTGGTGTTTCAGCTTTGAATGTTTCAATGGAATTCTTGGTACAATGCAAGTGGATGGAAGGTCTGTGGAGACATAACTAATGCGCAAACTTATGGCTGAACGGTTTGCTGGGATGTAAAATTTCTAAATGAATTCCAAGAACATTTTTTGCCATTTTTTTCCCGATATGAAAGTCATGATTTATCTGAGAACATGGTGGTAGAAAATGTCACCAAACTGTTTAACAGTGCCTATTGCTTGAATTTCCAAACTCATTCAAGCATTTTGTATTGGATCCAGATGAGCTGAGGGTACTTTTTGACTGTTTCCGTGCGACAATTGAACTTTCTTCAAGTGTTGCACGGAAGTTTTCAAATGTCCTGCTTGGCACTGAAAAGTTTGGATCAAAGTTGGCTGCCGTAACTTGAGATAAGCTAGAAATAGAGCCTCTTGGAGTGCTGATGATGGTTCTATTAATACCTCCGCTCCTAGAAGACCAGGAATAGTCAACTTCTACCAAGTGCACAGTGTAAAAGTCAATGGAGAATTCCGTCAGCATGCATTCGCAGTTGTACATGTGGGGTGGTACTAAACTGATTGTGAACAAGGACATTTTGGTAAACCAACCCAGGTTTGGAAACAGAGTGATTATGAACCCTGTCGACCTTCCCTATTTATGCCAATGCAGCGCGTAGCACAAAAGTTTGCATGCTGTTCAATGAAAATTAATGGGGTAGATAAGTTGGTAATAAGCCCCATTCCTAGGTCATTTAATTAGCTCTGATATTGCTTGAACTTACATTGAATAGCTGTTCTGATTATCAAGTTGAATATCTTAGGATTGCATTTGTGGAATAGAAAATCGTAGTCGTAGATAATGTCAATAGCATTGACCAATAATTTTAAGGCTGTACAGCGCAAGGACCCCAAAAGTGTGGCTGTTCACATTCTTTTAGATTTTGTGTACCTATATTCAAGTTATGGCAGGGTTCCATCGAAAACCGGTTTCTGTGACGTAATCATTGTTGAAACATCTAAGTATTAACATTTAACTTTTAACATGTCTCGATTGTATTGCGTTCAGTCTTCTCGTACGCTGTAAAAGTTCCTATCCAACTCAGTGCAACATGTACACAAGCAGTAATAAATGTGGTAAATAAAAGCTTGTATCATTTAAAATAGTGTTTCTATCTGCACTGTTGACGCATGATTTACAGCGCAAACTACATGTATCCTTATGGAAGACAGAGTACAGTTGGCAATGGCTTGATGGGAAAATATTTTGAATTATTGAGAAATAGAAATATTTACGTTACAGTACTATTTTCATTCATTTTCCTAGCCATGGATCTACTCAGGTTTTCTTTTGGCTGACATCTTAGTGAGAAGATCAGATAACACGTAAAAACTTATTGATTGTGACGAGCTGTGAGACATCCCATAAATAGTAAAGCTTTAAAAGCATAAAGCATAAAGCTTTACACGTTTTGCGAAATGTATGGCTCATCACAACCTTTAGGTAAATTGTAAACAAGCATAAATGTGTCTAGACATATTTATTCCAGCTTTACAAAAACTCCAATTTCGGTCTAGTAAAGTTTAACTTTACGCAAACTTTTTCATTGAATGTAAATCTGGCTCTTCAGCTTTAAGTTACCTTTACGAAAGCTTTATATCTGATGACGTAAATCCACCTTTACGCGCCTTTACGAGCATTATTATTCTAGCGTAAAGTTACTTAACGAACTTTAGGCAGAATTACGCAACTTTAATTTTCCGTAATTCTCTTTTTTCATGCTGTGAACGTGACGATATCATTTTTTCAGAACTTGCAAAGAATGCCCCAGATTGTGGCAGTCGGCCTTCTCTACGTCATAAATGATGAAAAATGTGCACCTAACCGTTCAAAAACAGGAAAGAAATGTTTTAGTCTTCCGCACTTCGAACTATTGACGTCGTTCATTATTATCATTAGTTTTATCATTCTTATATTGCAATTGTTGTTATCTTTATTTTTCTGACAGAACGTGACGCTTACTGGTGTAAACTATGGTACAAATGACGCATACATTGCTAAATTATCAAGCACCATCTCAGGTGGCAAGAGGACCTAAAAGTGCTTTTGCAAAGGTACCCTATCAATTAGAGTACTAAAGATGTATTGCTACATGCACTACTGGGAGTGTCAGTCCTAAATAGGAAAACGTTGAGTCATTATTTTTAACAGGGCCCTTTATAAAGACAATAATAGAGTGCTTTACCAGAAACGAGATGAAGAGCAATTTTGCTAGTGTAACAAAAGACCTGAAATATTTTCAAATGCCTCGACTATATCATTTTTTTCCTCGTTTGTAGGTTACTTGTTTTCAAATGCACCCAGTAACATAAAAAGGCAAATAATGATTTCATCAACTCATATTGTTATGGATATTGATGGCTTATTTTAGACTTAGCCTTTAGGCATTAGGGAAGGTAACAGAAGTGCAGTCACCTTCATTTATTCATTGAACATTGATTCATGAACTTTTCTCAAGCTTTATTAGAAACCGACATTTTATGAGACGA